TTTCCCCCCCCCCCCCCCCCTTTTCTTTGTTTTTGAATTGATCAAATCAACTTATAATCAACATCATGTATTTTACCAACTCTACTTACTGTTACTGTAAATCACATTTAGGAATTGTGTTTATAACAAGTTTTAAACATTTTTACGTGTAATTTAATGAGTTTTCCCATTTACACTCTTGCTAGAATATGATTCTAGATTTATTATTCATTAACTTTATCATCGCATTGGATATATTTAGAAAATGTGTACATTTTTTGTTCATTTTCTAGTAGCATTTTGTTTTAGATTTCAATTTGCTTAATGTTGTAGATTGAAATTGTGAATTCAAATAAATTTTGCTCAAATGAAATTTATATTTTATCTTTATCCTATGAGAGACATGGGTTGCAGTCATAACTTACAGTTTGTTGATTTCCTTTCACATAAAGTATTAATAAAACATTTAAAAAATCCTTGAAGTTTTGGGCAAGAAAATTTATAGAAGACCAGTCTTGGCAACATATATAAAAGATCATGGTTTGCTAGATTTTGTGGTCAGTTTCACTAATTTTCACACTTCTGGCCTACTTCAGCTCAAGACAGATGCACAGCAGTCATCCAAACCATACTGTTATAATTACTGTCAACCAAAACCCCAGTCATGTCTTTCTTACATTCAAACAGATACACCTAAAATTTTCAGTTCATCAGAGGAAATAAACTCATCTCATGACAAAGGCTTCCTGATAGTAGTGAGGTGAGTTGAGTGTCCTCTGTACCTCAGGTCCACCCCCACCCCCCCCAACCTCTCTCCTACTTTATACTAGAGGCCAACTGAGTTATGAAATCAATTCCATACAAATGTTCCCAATGGACAGCAGAAAAACTGTTATGTATAAGCCAAAGACATATCTGTAAATATCTAGTGAAAAATCAATCTGTGACCCTGGTAGAGTGCCCCGTCCCCCCCCTCCCCTTCCCCCCCCCCCCCCCCAAGCATTATGTTCCCTAATTCTCCAGTGCTACATACTGTGACTAAAATACGCTGTTGTTCTTTTTTTTTTTCAATAAGATCTTTATTGAAGCAAGGATACAGTTTATTTTAAGCAACTCCTAGTGACATGGTTTCCTTATAATCAACCAAACAGCAAAATTCAATACTAATGTATTTCGATGCTTCAATTGCAATAACGCCTTTCTATGATCAAAGTGAAACAATATCTACTCTTCACTCCACTTTTTGTTGTCCCAGCAAGTAAGTAAAAGATTATAGATCATAGAACTTTTCCACAGTTCACTAAGAATATTTCTTTTCCAGCCTCCATTTTAATTCATCTATTAGATAATAATATAGCAGTTAACATGTGGCATAATATACAGGTTTTTGCCATAAATTGACCTAGACAAGAACAAGAAGTCAATCTCTGACCAATTCAATAATCATGAAAATAAACTTATAAGATGAGACTTAAATCAAGCTCAATATTTTGTGACCACTTTTACATTTTGCATCATTTGCTATTCAAAAAAAAAAAAAAAAAAAAAAAAAAAAGTAATATAAAATCAATTACTACTATAGTGATGTTAACTCTAACATCTTTTTCATAAAATTAATGTAATTCATTGCTAATTTTGCTAAATATTACAACTTTAGTCAATGTAAGATGACATAAATATCTATTACAATGATTAATTTCAATGAGCACAGCATATTAGCATATTAGTTTATACATGAGAACATGGCTATGCAATATAGATGTCAAATTGAAATCATGCCCACACGCATTAAATTTTGGCTTTGAAGTATGACTGCTAAGCCCACGCGTGTGGAGGTATGCTTTCAGTTACAGTGTAGAAATTGAACAGTTTTAAAATTTCATGACAAATTTATACAGCTGGATGCCAAAAGGGCCTAAAACCCCCAATTATATCAATGACATGCTGTCGTACAGACTATCAGAGGCCATTCAGAATGAATTAGGTTAATCTAGTTGGTGATAACATACATCCGTCCAAAGCACTCATATCATCACCAGCTTTTCTGTATTCTACTCAATGCCAGGGGGAAGCATGTTGGTCTGTTAATCTGACTGCATTCAGCGAGAGTCTCCATGGAGTTAGGGTCACACCAGCTAGGTCAACCTTATTCATTCTGAACGGCCCCTTACAGGTGTAAGTTTAACTGTAAAGTCTGTCTAATTTTTGACAGCCATTTTGGTTTTATTTATGATAACTATATTTTTCCACTATGAAATTATTGCATAAACATATGTACAGCTCTTCTATTTTATCATGCTGTTGGTAATCCAACTAATTATTTTAATGCATTAATAGATGTCAGCTCATCATAATCTTTTCAATGATATTCCTTCAACGGGAACATACAAAGGAATCCTCCAATTATTTACTACTAATCTAGTAATATATTTTTTCTTTTTGCAGACCCCTTTTAATCGGTGTTTCTTTTAAACTACACAACAATACAGCAATGGCATTGGGTGTTTATGAGATAAACTAGAATAGTTAATCTATTCATACACCAGTTCCACTTGGGAACGTTGAAAGAAATAATCCATATTTCAAAAATGAAATTTATTTTTTTTTTAACGAAGCTATTTACATGACAAGAAACCAGTCATCCTTTCAAGAAATAAAAGAACTTCCGTGTTATCGGTTATTCAGAAATTTTGAAAATTCTTGCAATGTGAGCTTGTTTAGGACTTCAATAGCAGTTGTGTCCTTAAATGAACTGATATGACCATATACTTATATATTATATATAAATTATATTATATTAGCACATAAGTTGTTATGCTTTATTAATAATATGTAACAAATAGGGCAAATACTTCATATTACTATACTATACTATACCTCTATCTTTACATCTTCCAATATCTTCTTCAATCATTGCTCTAAGTTATAAGTAAATTTAAAAGTAATATGTATTGAGCATTATAGTACAGCAAATAACATTTTCTCATACTTTTCTCTGGATCCCTACAGTACACTTTAATATAGCTAAAATCAATACAGCTCTAAGTGTACGTACACATACATTACAATTAAATGTTTTATGTGACATACCATTATAAATTGACAGAACAAATTGATAAAATCTTATCAATTTCTGCTTAGACCCATCTTATACCAGAGTAAACCTAGACTATATCCAGCCTACAGAACTCTAATTATATGTACATAAGCCATAAAGATATCAATTTCATATACCATGAAAATGAAAAACAAGATTAATCCTCTTTCAATCAATCGATGTTCAACTTAAAAAATCATGCACCTATCCTGCAAATAATAATTCTATCCCATGAGCTCAGAATCTATTCACATAACTGCTAACATTTGTACCTATGCAAAAAAATAAATAAATAAATAAATAAATAAAAAATAAAAATCACCATTTTCTCTGTGCCTTGTAACCTGGAGATGCTTGGTGACATCTTTTCTTCTTTTCACAATCTTAACAATTCGTTAGTTTGAAAGAAGAAAGAGTTAAGGTGGACTTGTCTATGCTTTAAGGTATCCAGAGCACACTGCTGAGCTTTGACCAGAACAGAATGGCAAGGGAAATGTCATTATGCCCTTATTGCCTATGGCAAAGTGGCCCATGATACAAAGTGCAGACAACCAGCATGTTGCCATTATTAAAACAGTGAGAGAAAGTGGCAAGGGTGGGGGAGAAATTCAGTTCCAAAGAGCTCAAATCCTTCAAACAGTTACTCTTGAAATTCCGTCTCTTGCTTCAAAAATTTTTTAAGGCAGTTTAACCAACATTTCTTGTTTTCTGAGCCCCAAACTTTTATGCACCAGCTCTGAAAGATTTTTGCATTCTGTTCCTTGATCTTACTAGGATTTATTCCAACATTTCTTGTTTTCTGTGACCCAATCTCTCGTGCACCATTTCATGTGTGTTATGGTCGCTGGAATTATTAAACCGTTCGCTACAGTAACTACAGCCAATGGGCTTCTCCCCTTGGTGAACTCCCATGTGTGTCAGCAACGTGCGCTGCTGCATGAACCGTCGCGCACACACCGTGCACGCATGGGGCTTGCTGTTGGTGTGTGTGCATTTGTGAAGATAGTAAGCACCAGGTGTGTGCGCCTCCGCGCCGCACAGCTTGCACGAGAAGGGCAGCCGCCTTGCACCGTGCATTTGCTGGCAGTGAATGTATCTCATACTGGGGGTTCTGAAACGCCGGGGACACATGACACACGGGAACCGTTTCCTCTGGCTGTGAATGTCCATGTGGCACAACAGCTTCGTGTACAGGAGAAACTTTCCTCCGCAGCGCTTACACTTGTGCTTCCACTGCTTCCTGTCCTGCTGTTCACTCTTGATGTAGAACGGCTGCATCTTAAATCGGAGACCCCCGACGAGCTTCTTCAGACGAAACTGCATGGACTGTTGCGCGGGCTGCTTGGGAGTCAGGGTGCGATTGTGCGACTCTTTCATATGGTTGGTGTAGCCGATGAGGGTGAGGAAATCTTGGCCGCAGATGTAGCAAATTTTTAGTGCACTCTTAGCCTTGTGAACAAAAGCCTTGTGTCGCTTCAGGCAGTAATGGGTGGAGGACACGTATTGGCAACCCTGGAAGGTGCAGCAGTGGACGCGATTCAGGTGACGCATTAGGTAGACTCTCTGTCCAAACACCTGGAATGGGAGCAGAGATTGACTTAGACTGCTGTGAAATCAAAATATTAGGGGCCATTTTCAAAATATAAAAGGTGAAACTTGCACAGGTAATTCAATTGTGACCAAGTTTGTCAGAGTGAACAGACGAAACTGTCCACAGGTAAATCAAATGTGTGGATCTATCATATGAAATCTTTTTATCTTACTGAAAACTGAGTTGGTTATGCTTTACAATGATAATGTTTAGTTCATTTTTTATCTGAAAATGATTTATATATACAAAAATTTTAATTTTTGAAAAATTGAGGTCTTTGAAAATTAAGTAATATATATAAACAATGAAATTTATTTACATACAGAGATGCATTGTTTCAAAATATCTTGCTTAGAAGAAAAGACATTTACAACTTCATGACCATAATTTTCAAGTACCTTTCCACATTCCCTACACACATTCCTCTTCTTCGTATGATTGGTCAGTTTATGCCGAGTCATTATGAACAGCTTGTTAAAGGTATCCTCGCACTGACCGCACCTATAGATGGCAGTGGGAGGTTGTCGGCCGACTGGAACAATGGACGCCCTTCGCAGATGCTTCCTGTACTGTTGCTCCGACTGAAACACTTCACCACAGACTCCGCAGAAATGCTTCGTTGGGGAGACATCTTTGTTTTCTTCACTGTAGGAATCGGACTTGGGCCCTGTTTGGGTGTGTTTATACACCATGTGATGCCGAAGTTGAAGCACTGAGAGTCCTTCAAAAGAACACCCCGGAACGGAACAGGCAAACAAAGAAGATGAAGATGGTGAAGCTGTCATGGCAGCTATGTTTTTAACAGCATTTTCTGGTTTGACCTCTGATTTCGGTCTCAACTCCGCACCTCCAACCATCCCCTGGCCTTCTAGTGCACTACTACGAGGCTTCCTCGGTGATCTTTTAAATGGATGATCCTCATGGAGATTTTTGAAATGTTCCCGTAAAGTTCTTTTAGTTTTGGCAGCGTAGCTACAATTGAGTTCTGTGCACTTGTACTTCCTGTCAGTATGAACACGCTTTCTGTGCTCTTTGAGGCGTTCTCTCTTTTGGAAAGTTTTGTTACATACGGGGCACTCAAACACTTGATTTGTAAGAGAACTTGGTCTTGCTTTCTTCTTTTTCGGCCCCTTGGGATTCTTTGGACTTTCTCCTGGCTTGGCTTTACTTTCACCAATAGCAAGCGATACGTCAGCCAGAATTTCCAAAGAATCGGAAGCTTTTTGGTTGGATCGAAGCTTATGAACCCTTCTCCGATGTTCATAAAGTCGTGCTTTTTTCTGAAAAGTTTTAAAGCAGACATCGCAGTCAAATATATTTTCTCCTGGTGATTTGTCACTTGAAGTGTCAACCCCTACCCCATGATCTTTCACATGGTGATCATATAATTTTTCCTTTTTATGGAAACTCTTGGAGCAGACGACACAGCTGAAGGGACCCGGGTTGGTTTCATCTTTCAGGTTACCCCTGCTCTCTTCCTTCTTGATTACTTCCTGCCTGTCCTGTCCTTGTCCTTGTGGGGTCACTTGAAGGTCAAGGTTAGTCCCTGGAAAGACCGGCTTTGATCGAGCAACTCTCAGAACTTCGTCAGACTTGGGGATGTCTTCAGGGCTCGCTACTATTTCAGATCTCGGAATAGATTCTGCCCTCATTATATCATCCAGCCTTTGTGTGTCCTCTTGTTTTATGCCTGTCTCTGACCTTGACAGCATCTCTGACCTTGACAGAATCTCTGACCTTGACAGAATCTCTGATCTTGGCAGAACATCTGACCTCATTACAGCCTCTGCCCTTGGCATGGATCTGGGCATCACCTCTGACCTTGGCAGAGCATCTGACCTTGATATAACATCTGGCCTCTGCATCACATCTGACCTCTGTAGCATATTTGACCTTGAAATGACATCTGACCTTTGCATTGACTCTGGTCTCAACATAGAATCTGGTCTGGAAATTGTGCTTGGTCTCTGCATTAGATCAGATCTTGATGCGAGTTCTGACCTTGGATTGACCTCTGACCTCGGGTCACCTTCTTTGGGTCTGCCATACTTATAATAGTCTTGGAGAAGGGGGGCACCAAAATGCTGCATTCCTGGTAGTGGGACATAACCTTGCGACTTTGCATTTCCTGGAAAATGATTCAATGTTATCAGTATTGTAAGTGCACATCAACTAAGCAAATACCTATCAAATAGTGAAAATATGCAGGAATACTTCATGAACTTTCAAAAATTTTTCAAAATTATGAAAAACAATTTTGGTTTTAAAAAACTTATAATTATTAAAATGATAGCAAAAGAAGCAAACAGGTGCACATTAAATGCCACAATAGCAATGTGCTTGTCTGTCCATTGCAAGGTCTGTCAGTCTCGCTCAACAAGTCTGATTTACGTAAAATATAAATCTTAAGAAATAAATACCAAATTGCTGTAACAGTTATAAGCATACTAAGCTCTTTAAAATCTGGGAGTATTTAACATACCTGTGTGATAAGGAAAATGTTGAGGATTCTGCTGTCGCTGCACGGCATAGTTTCCCGCCCCTCCATGTGTTGCCGCTCCTCCCATGTAAGCAGCACGTGCATATGCAGATATTTCATCAGAGCCTGCCATTGCAAAACTGCGCGGGAGGTGGTCCAGGGAGTCAGCTTGTTGGGAATCTGGAACTTTGTTCCCCGTCGGTGCTGTGGGGGCGGTAGGCCAGCTGTGGTCCATGACTAGCAAGGACTGGAAAGTTTTTTTGTTTTTTAATTTTCAGTTAAAAGAGAAATATTATATATAATATAATTTTTTGTTATTTGATGATACAAATATTCTAGCACATGTGGGATAGAAAATCTACCCATTTGCACATATAATATACATTTTGTTTTCTATTGACAGCGCTACTATTTAAGCCACACAATGAACATGAAACCTTTAAATAACACAAAATTTACTCTACTTGAAAATTTTAACCTCTGTTCATAATTTTAATAAAACAATTCAAATTGTGAAAAGGAGCAAAATCCACTGTGGCATTATTACGTGTTAGAAGTCTTAAGTGTTTCAATACAGTAATCATAAATACTGCACTGTTTAAAAGGGGGTCTAATATTTCCGCTTCACGTTCTACTTACTTTTTATGTTTATCTAAAAGTAAAGTTGGATTAGTCAAGGCCTGCTTGCAGTCCATATATGTGGTATTAATTTGTGACTACTTTCCATTAATGGCCCTTGTGGGAAGAAAGAAAGAATGTGGATTAAACTTCATTTCATACAAATTCTAAAATGTGCATATTTTTCAGGTTTAACACTTTATAAGAACATCAATTCACAAATTACAATAATATTATTATTACAGCTGTCTTTCTTGTATTCTTATTCCCAAGAATCTTTCTTTTTCAGACAATGCTTTTGGTTTTTATAAATTTGAAAAGTTTATGGAATGCTTCATTCATGGTGTCAGGGTCACCAGGTATGTGTGTGGGACATTTTTTTTTTTATCCTAACAAACAAATTGTGACCTGAAACCAGTAGTGTTTTAGTACTAATATCAAAACTCATTCATCGGTGTTTAGTTATTTCATACAAATGCCTAACATTTAACACTCCTGGCAACAAAAATGACATATGATGGTGCAGTCAAAATCTGTATGTACAATGCATGATCAAAAAAGCCAGGATAAAATGTTCCCACAAGGTCATTCTCAGGCATGAACAATATGAAATGTTGAGAAACCTTGAAATGGTCAATAAAAGATGACTTTCACCCTAAAACAAAACCTGATATCAATTCATAACCTATACAAACAGCACTGAATCATAAGAGCAAACTTGGTGTCTAGGATGCAGCAGAGCAAGGTATCCATTTCTATATGAAACACTTAATAATAATATTTTACAGCTGTGTTTTACTCTAAACTAAGGCCCCATTCAGATCGAGAAGAGCCGAGTGCTAGCTAGGCTGCAATCTAAATATGGCAGACCTACATGGAAGGAAGACCGCTTGATCCTGTAATGGTCTCTCCGCCTCTCACACGCCTCCCCCCACTTCATCCTTGACCAGTTGAATTGAGCCGAGAGTTAATTACTGTGCCCCTGCAGGGATGACGCGTGGAGAGGCATGAAAGAGGTGGAGAGACCAATACAGGATTAAGCAGTCTCCCTTTCATGCAGGTCCGCCATATTTAGGTCGCGGCCTAGCTAGCACTCGGCTCTTCTCGGTCTGAATGGGGCTTAATTGAAATTGGAAATTGATCAATGCATATTTGTGGAACGAGACCGAGTATACCAAGTAGCAAATCACAGAATGCTAGATCTTCCAGTGAAATGAAACAACCTACAATTTCTCGACAACTTGGTCCAATTTGTAAGTGCTACAGTAGGCTAACTATTCTATACTAAATGTAGGCTTCGGTTCAGTCCCAGAAACTTTTAGAAAGCTTGTAGATTTGGTAAAACCATGCTCATTAACGAAATTTCAGACCAAATGACGAATGCATTTCACGCGCATTTCCACGCCAAGATATTAGAGTAACGGTATGTCTATTTATCCGAGACCTCAGTGGCACTTAAAGATGCAATTTGGGATAAAATTTTACCCACCTCTCCCAGCCACACCAGGGGGTCAGAAATGAACAACCTTGACCCTCAGAATAACTTTCCTACCTCCAATGCCGCAAGAATTGCGCTTGCTGTGCATCTAACACATTTTACTCCCAGCCCCCTCCCCTCCCCCTCGGTTCCCCAACGACCTTTGTATATTTTCATTCTTTTCATTTTCAACAATGAACAATCACAGTTGATGAATATCTTTAAGTTAATTACTATATTAATCTTGTTTAAAAAAATTGTTGATACGTTTTTTTTTTTTTTTTGAATAATTCATAAGTACAGCATTTCATATTATTGGTACATGTACATAAGATTCAATAAAGTTGATTGAACTACCACATAATCTTGTTTTAAAACAACAAAAACTAGTGAAACAAAATATCTGCTTAATTTTATTTCTGGATATAAGCATCTACATAACATAAAGCATTTAACCTTTACTTTGATCTTTTTGGCCAACCATTCTCATAACTGCTGTCATCCCTGAATTCAAACATATTTTGATTTAAAATGCTTTAAACATTTTGATTTAAAATGCTCATTGTTTAAGGCATTATCCTTCTTTATATTATGAATATGATAAACTAAAGAGCAATATATTTTAATAATCTTACTTCTTTCAAAACTGATTTTTTAAATTTAACATTTGTACTTTAAAGTTGAAAAAAGAAATTCACTTACATTAATTTTGTGTCACATTTTAGTCAATAAACTTGGATTTTGTTGGTTCAAGTTGAACTTTCATTCAAAAATCCATTTCAAATGAAATTAAAAATACAACCTGTGTGTTGACAAAATTCAAACTTGCAACTACTATATGGTGATGACTCAATATTTTAAATGGGGAACCCTGGAATAAGTATATTAATACAAGGTTCAGCCCGAGCCACAAAAGGCACCACATGCTAATGATAGCTTTCTTTCACCTCTGACACTTGGAATGACCAAAGGAAAATAAAATCTAGTAGTAAACTCAAAAAATGTGACAAAAGCTAGACAACCTGGTATATATCAGAAATAATACAATATTACAAAAATGATGCAATCATAAATATAATTTCTAAAAGTTTTTAAAAAGTCCATCCCAGTTACGTTTTTTACCTTGTATGCTTTTAATTCAGAGATTCAACATAAATGTTGTCAATCAAAATATAGTATCACAACCTTTTGCCTCTGACTTGAAATTACAATAATTTTTTATATTAATATAATATATAATTAAAACACTGAGTATGTATACATGCTGGATAAAAAAGAAATTAGATCTATGTTTGTAAATTTGCAATAATCAGTCATAATAAATGGCACTGGGTTACAACAACAGTCACATTCATGTTAATGGTATAACATCAATTTCTCTTTTGAGAGATGCACAAAAAAATAAGATTCCGTCGTCATTAAATTTACTATAAATACAGAGATAAAATGTTTGTGCAGGTGTATTTTGACAAACAGATGCTTCCCTCCGTCTTTTTCACATTAAGCATCTTATTAGCAAAATAACAAACAATCTTATTGGACATGAGCATATTTGCAATTTCAATGAGCAATATGCAATTTTTTTAAAAACTAACATCTACCCTGCTTTGACTCAATGATTGGAGATACATATATTTAGTGTATATTCTTTAAAATATGAATAGCAATTCTTCTAATCATTCTGCATACAACTATAATCATTATGTCAATAACAATAGCAAGATAATTAACAATACAAATGACAGGGGCGGATCCAGAGATATTTTCTGACAGTCTTCCAAATTATCTTTATTGATCCATCCACCATTTTTGACCGTCTTCCAACAGAAAAAATTAGATACCCGTCAATGTTAACTTGAAAATCTGACCATCTTCCGGAAGACCCAGAAGACGGCCTAAATCTGCCCCTGAATAATATCAAAATCTAAAAGCACCATCAGTAATAATATATAATACTACACAGAACATTGTAGGCAAAACTGATTTCAACTANAATGTAAAATATAAATCTTAAGAAATAAATACCAAATTGATGTAACAGTTATAAGCATACTAAGCTCTTTAAAATCTGGGAGTATTTAACATACCTGTGTGATAAGGAAAATGTTGAGGATTCTGCTGTCGCTGCACAGCATAGTTTCCCGCCCCTCCGTGTGTTGCCGCTCCTCCCATGTAAGCAGCACGTGCATATGCAGATATTTCATCGGAGCCAGCCATTGCAAAACTGCGCGGGAGGTGGTCCAGGGAGTCAGCTTGTTGGGAATCTGGAACTTTGTTCCCCGTCGGTGCTGTGGGGGCGGTAGGCCAGCTGTGGTCCATGACTAGCAAGGACTGGAAAGTTTTTTGTTTTTTAATTTTCAATTTTCAGTTGAAAGGGAAATACGTAATCTAATTTTTTTGTTACTTGATAATACAAATATTCTAGCACATGTGGGATAGAAAATCTACCCATTTTCACATATAATACACATTTTGTTTTTGTACTGACAGCGCTATTATTTAAGCCACACAATGAACATGAAACCTTTAAATAACACAAATTTTACTCCATTTGAAATTTCTCACCTTGTGGCATTATTACGTGTTAGGAGAGTCTAAACTGTTTCAATACAGTAATTCTAAATACTGCACTATTTCTGCTTCACATTCTACTTACTTTTTATGTTTATCTAAAAGTAAAGTTTGATTGGTCAAGGCCTGCTTGCAGTCCATATATGTTGTATTAATTTGTGACTTCTTTCCATTAATGGCCCTTGTGGGAAGAAAGAAAGAATGTGGATTAAACTTCATCTCATACAAAGGCAGTCCTACAATTTCCAAAATGTTCACATTTTTCAGGTTTAATACTGTATACGAACATCAATTCACAAATTAGAATTACAGTTGTCTTTCTTAAATTCTTATCCCCAAGAATCTCTTTCTTTTTCAGAAAATGCAACTTCTGGTTTTTATACATTTGAAAATTTAAAGGAATGCGGCATTCATGGTTTGAGGGTCATCTGGTGTGTGTGTGTGCGTGGGGATATTTTATCCAAACAGTAGTGCTCTAGCACTTATAACAAATCTCATTAATCTGTGTTTAATTATTTCATACAAATGCCTAATATTTAACGCTCATGGCAGCAAAAATGCCATATGATGTGCAGACAGGCTGGTGCAATCATAATCCGTATTTACAATCCATGATCAAAAAGCCAGGATAAAATGTTTCCCACAAAGCCATTCTCAGGCATGAACAACATGAAATGTTGGGAAACCTTGAAATGGTCCATAAAAGATGACTTCCACCCTACAACAAAACCCGATATCAATTCATAACCCGTACAAACAGCAATGAATCATAAAGGCAAACTTGGCATCTAGGATGAACCAGCAGAGCAAGGTTTCCATTTCTATATGAAACACTTAATAAATTAAATAATATTTTCAGCTGTGTTTTACTTTAGACTAAGGCCCCATTCAGATCAAGAAGAGTGCTAGCTAGGCCGCGACCTAAATATGGCAGACCTACATGAAAGGAAGACAGCTTGATCCTCTAATGGTCTCTCCGCCTCTAACATGGCTCCCCACGCGTTGTCCCTCAACCGGTTGAATAGAGCCAAGATTTAAATACTGTGCCCCTGCAGGGATCATGCGTGGGGAGGCATGAAAGAGGTGGAGAGACTAATACAGGATTAAGCAGTCTTCCTTTCATGTAGGTCCGCCATATTTAGGTCGCGGCCTAGCTAGCACTCGACTCTTCTCGATCTGAATGGGGCTTAATTGAAACTGGTAATTGATCAATGCATATTTGTGGAACGAGACCGAGTAGACCAATTGGCAAATCAGAGAATGCTAGATCTTCCAGTGAAATGAAACGACCTAAAATTTCTCGACAACTTGGTCCAATTTTTAAGTGCTACAGTAGGCTAACTATTCTCTACTAAATGTAGACTTCGGTTCAGTCCCAGAAACTTTTAGAAAGCTTGTAGATTTGGTAAAACCATGCTCATTAACGAATTTCAGATCAAACGACGAATGCATTTCACGCGCATTTCCACGCCAAGATACTAGAGTAACGTCATGTCTCTTAATCCCAGACCTCAGTAGCACTTATAGATGCAATTTGGGATAAAATTTTACCCACCTCTCCCAGCCACACCAGGGGGTCAGAAATGAACAACCTTGACCTTCAGAATAACTTTCCTTCCTCCAATGCCGCGAGAATTGTGCTTGCTGTGCATCTAACACATTTAACTACCCCCCCCCCCTGTTCCCCAACCGTATGTCTTCATTCTTTTCATTTTCAACAATGAACAATCACAGTTGATGAAAATCTTTTAGTTAATTACTATGTTAAACTTGCTTATGAAAAATTATTGATACGTTTTTTTAAAATAATTATTAAATAATTCATTAGTACAGCATTTCATATCATTGGTACATGTACCGTACATAAGATTCAATAAAGTTGATTGAACTGCCATATAATCTTGTAAAACAATAAAAACTAGTGAAACAAAACATCTGCTTAATTTTTATTTCTGGATATAAGCACCTACATAACGTATAGCATGTAAACTTTCGCTTTGATCTTTTTGGTTAACCATTCTCATAACTGCTGTCATCCCTTCAAACATATTTTGATTTAAAATGCTTCAAACATTTTGATTTAAAATGCTCATTGTTTAAGGCATTATCCTTCTTTATATTATGAATATGATAAACTAAAGAGCAACACATTTTAATAATCATACTTCTTGCAAAACTGATTTTTTAAATTTAACATTTGTACTTTAAAGTTGAAAAAAGAAATTCACTTACATTAATTTTGTGTCACATTTTAGTTAGTAAACTTGGATTTTGTTGGTTCAAGTTGAACTTTCATTCAAAAATCCATATCAAATGAAATTAAAAATACAACCTGTGTGTTGACAAAATTCAAACTTGCAACTACTATATGGTGATGACTCAATATTTTAAAGGGGAACCCTGGAATAAGCAACTTAATACAAGGTTCAGCCCGAGCTACATATGGCACCACACGCTGGTGATAGCTTTCTTTCACCTCTGACAACTGGAATGACCAAAGGAAAATAAAATCTAGTTGTAAACTCAAAAATGTGACAAAAGCTAGACAACCCGAAAATAAGAAATAATACAATATTACAAAAATGATAAAATCATAAATATAATTTCTAAGTTTTTAAAAAGTCCATCCCAATTATGTTTTTTACCTTGTATGCTTTTAATTCAGAGATTCAACATAAATGTTGTCAATTAAAATATAGTATCACAACCTTTTGCCTCTGACTTGAAATTACAATAATTTTTTATATTAATATAATATATAATTAAAACACTGAGTATGTATACATGCTGGATAAAAAAGAAATTAGATCTATGTTTGTAAATCTGCAATAATCAATATATCATAATAAATGGCACTGGGTTACAACAACAGTCACATTCATGTTCATGGTATAACATCAATTTCTCTTTTGAGAGATGCACAAAAAAATAAGATTCCGTCGTCATTAAATTTACTATAAATACAGAGATAAAATGTTTGTGCAAGTGTATTTTGACAAACAGATGCTTCCCTCCGTCTTTATCACATTAAACATCTTATTAGCAAAATAACAAACAATCTTATTGGACATGAGCATATTTGCAATTTCAATGTGCAATATGCAATTTTTTTAAAAACTAACATCTACCCTGCTTTGACTTAATGATTGGATATACATATATTTAGTGTATATTCTTTAAAATATGAACAGCAATTCTTCTAATCATTCTGCATACAACTATAATCATTATGTCAATAACAATAGCAAGATAATTAACAATACAAATGACAGGGGCAGATCCAGAGATATTTCCTGACAGTCTTCCAAATTATCTTTGTTGATCCATCTATCATTTTTGACCGTCTTCCGACAGAAAAAATTAGATACCCGTCAATGTTAACTTGAAAATTTGACCATCTTCCGGAAGACCCAGAAAACGGCCTAAATCTGCCCCTGAATGATGTCAAAATCTAAAAGCACCATCAGTAACTAGAGGATCAGAGAGGCGATACCGCCTCCAAATATTGTACCACCAGCTGGAGGAAACGCATTCGTATAGACCCCCACATACACAAAATAAGGGACACAGCCACCAGTTTTGTGCTTGACAAGCTGTAAAAATGCAATCAACAAGAATTTTTAAACTATTGCAAAAAATATATATGGTACAATCAAATTTAAGTTCTTCGTAAGGTAGGTCAAGGGTCAATTTCAAGGTCACAGTAAATTGCCAGTATATGACTTCCTATTCAAGTTCAAGAGTAACTATGGACCTATCTCTGTCAAGTTTGAAGTTAAAAGAGAAAGAAATTAGCAGAGTTCAGTTCATGATAAAAAGTAGGTCAAAGGTCAATTTCAAGGTCACACTTAGATTGCCAGTATATGACTTNAGCCCAAATTTTACGTGGAACGAGTTGAGATTATAGGTGACCTAAATCCATGAGGTGGGTACGGGGGCCCTTACCGTCTAGGAGGAGAAGCGGTAACGGTAGCCGTCCGGCGGAGCCGGCGGAGCCGGCGGAACGATCCGGACGGGACCGAAACCATGTGTACCGCCAGCGCTAACGCTGGTGGTACAATAATATATAATACTACACAGATCATAGTAGGCAAAACTGATTTCATTTAACAAACAATGAAATATACTGGTAAGTCAAATGTAATCTAATAATTGCATAAAATGTAACAAAATAATTGTGAATTGGAATTCTGAACACAATGAAAAAAAATCTAATTCATGGGGCAGATGACTCAGTCTGACTATGTCAGATAACATATTTATAATAATTCAATGTCCAAAACTTAAAAGTAATAAAAATAAAAGGAAAGCATACAAGGCAATATTGTAATAAATGCTAATCACTCTAGCGTGATATTAATACAAATTGGGAATAAGCAGAATTGTGACACAGACTTCTGATATATGGCACGATTTTTCAACAAAAATGTATAATTTAAAAGAAATGGAAACGCAAAAATATAGCTTTGAAGTCAGAAACAATATTGCATTGTCTCTTTTCATAAGCTATCCAAACAACCCCTTTGTTTTCTTCCACTTTTTATGCCACAAATTCCTTCTAATAGTGAAATTATATTATGAAATTCAATGCAATAATTAAGGCAAATATGACAAACTGACAAAAATTTATAAATCAGAGAATGCATGAACTCATCTTGAAAAATACAATTTCTTGAATTTGTGTAGGAGGTTCAAATGATAAAAGAAAAGCTTCAAAACTGAAAATTACAGAGATTAATAAGTTTTAAACCTAAGACAAGATTTAGGTTGAGGTGGATTTTTTTTTTTTACAATAAGGATTAAATTATCCCAAAAGAGGTAGAACAAGACTGTCAGCCTTGCTTAGATACACAAAGCTAAGATCATACATACCTTTATAAAAGTTGAATATGAGTATGGACTAGTCTTTTCTATAAAAACAGAAATCCCATGTATATAATGGAGGTCTGACTGCAAAAATAAAATTGAAGAACTATCCTTGGTTTTAAAATCAAATAATTATATTATCAATTTACTACACATGAAGGCTGCCTTCTGCATTAACGGCACCAGGGTTGTATTTGACAACAGGTTCGGGGGGCAGCAGGCTCTGTCTCTCCTCTTCTGTGCCTACCTGGTCCTTCTTTCTTCCTCCCATCACGCAATAAAAGATTATGATGTACACCAAGTACAGCAGTGCCTGAAAATTAATTAGAACAATTTTCATTGATAAGTTTACTTTAAAACTGCTGCTTATTTTATCAAATATTTTCCTTTAATTTTCTTTTTGACATGATGCCATATGCAAACACAGTGACTTTCCACATTTTAGGATATTAAAAGTTTTACCTATCATTAGCAATACATTTCTTTTTATTTATTCTATTTTTCTTTTTAGCAACTAAAGCAAAGGGGTATTTAATATGTCATTTGAATTTACAGATTAATAAAATAATGTAACAACTACATAAATTTTTATCTGTTAAAATAACAAGGACTTATTCAAAAGAGAGCTGTACATGTATGGCTGTGCATGGTATTGTAAGTACACATGGTCTTGGTGTGTGTGTGTGTGTGTGTGTGTGTGTGTGTGTGTGTGTGTGTGTGTGTGCACGCTCGTGTGTGTTCGTGAAGACACAATGTGAAAGTACTTGTAGCTTTAATACAACAAAGAAAGAGCCTAAAATAGGCTTGACAACATATTCTACTGGTCACATATGCAATGTGTGTTTGTATGTGCATGTGAAAACACATCCATTCTGGTGTGAACATGTAAGGGCGTGTGTGTGTGTGTGTGTGTGTGTGTTGTGTGTGTGTGTGTGTGTGTGTGTGCATGCCCATTTCTTACCACAGTGAAGCTGCAGCCCCCCACTATAGCTGCTGCCATTTCAAACGGCAGACGCTCTGTTAGCAAACCTCCAATTGTGGGTCCCAAAAATGCCCTAGCAATTAAAAAATCAACCTTTCGTCATTTTTTCAAATCAATATTTAAATACACTTTGCAGAATTAAATAATATTTTCAAGGAGCAGATAAGTACTGCTGAAATACTATATCAAACCCTAACATCTCCAACATTCTGTTTCTTATAAAGAAATAAAACACACACAAAACCATTATATAATTTTAAAATACTAGCTAAATATTAATAATAATAATAATAATAATAATAATAATAATAATAATAATAATAATGGAACACCCTTGAAAATTCAACAAGAGGAGTTTGCCACTCACCCCAATGAAAATGCAGAGCTAGTTATTCCAGAGATCATCCCTTGTGTCTCAAATGTCTCAGGAAAACCAAGATAACTGGAAACAAAAGCATACTGTACATGAATAATGTATCAACCTGAACCCTTTAATTGATCAGACTAGTACTATAGATCGCTTTTAAGTGCACTGCCATTTTACATGTAATGGCATAAATATCATGAAGCAAAAAGAAAGTTATATTGTTTCTGAAATTGTCAAATGGTATGAACTTAATGTGGCATGTCATACTATATTATAATATTTCAACTATACAATAACAGCTAAAAGTGTTTTTCTTAATCTTTGTAATAGAGTCCTTTCTAATAATTAAACACATTCTATGAAGAAATCAACTTATTTATAAACTCCCCTCCCTAGTAAAAAAAAAAAAAAAAAAAAAAAAAACTTATCTATTATACAGCAGCTGTTTTTAAGCTTATCTTTAAAGCACTTGGTATAAAGAAGTGTTGGGCAAAAGTGCATAATACAGTTCAATATGATTCACTTAAGTGACTTATGGCACTGTGACTTTTTTCAAATGGGAAAATTGAAAGACAGAATTGGGTCAATGTGACCTCATTTCCCATATAACTGGGCAGACTTCATTTCCACCAGTCATGATATTACCTGGCTTCTTCAAACAGGTCAGTGAAGACTGGGATGAGGGCTCCGCCTACACCCAGCCCCATCACTGTGAGCCCTACTATGGCGATCCACAGTGGTCTGAAACATAAACATTGCAGGATATTATACATGGAGGCAGTACTTGGGAAATGATGAGGCAAAAAATCTCCTCTCTCTCTCTCTCTGTATGTGTGTGTGTGTGTGTGTGTGTGTGAAGTTAAAGAATTTCATTATTATTTATATGTTCTGCTCATGCCTTTCAGTTTCACTAAAACAAATGTACAGATATTCAAGATTTTCATCAATAAATCTGGTATAAAGGACAAAATACAACATGTGTACATTATTATCTATCTCCTAGCTTATCTTTTTTATTCTAAATTTCTTCCTTTTCAAGGTGTTGTGACAAAGTGGGATCCATGTAGCCAAATGCAGCAACCGCTTAAAGAACTTAACTGTCAAAAACAACTCACGCTTTTTGATTTGGAAAGAGGTTTTGAATTGGTTGCCAAGGCCCCATCAATATAAACCCAGTGCCACCAACAATCATCCCTATTATCATCATTGTCTTAGTCCGTTTCTGAAAAAAAAATTGATTTTAAAAAAATCAAAACAAAAAAAAATTATCCTTACAAATGAAATATCCCAGCCTCCACAAATATCTTCAAAATATTACATACAAAAGTGAGTCAAAAATTGGGCACTTGGAGTGTTAAAGTAGATCACTATCATTCTCAATAGGTTTGGAAAGGTATCACTTGGTAATTGAAGGAAAATGTTGAAATTTCCAGAAAATTCACAATTTTGCTGTACAAAAGTCACACACTATTTGCTCATCTTAAGCTGCTTCAAAACACTCACCGTTTTATCAGCCAAGTATCCCCACAGCGGGGCTGTAAATGCATACATGCCTGGGGCGATCAGAAACATGATGCCTATAAGCCAGTACTTGTCCTTCAGTGAAGGATCCAGCTAGAAATGGAGGAATACAAGCATGTCTATTTTTACATGTATTTAACACATTTTCATCTGTGTGCTATTGCGTGCACATGCATGTGCATGCCTGCATACATGTGTGTACAGGTGCATGTGTGGGGGGAGTGTGCATGCATTCAAATAGTATCTAGTGCTCATTAATTATCTCATTAATTTTCTCATATGCTCATAAATTAATGATGAGCTTAGTAAGTTGGATTTGCAGTAAAAAATGTCACATTTATTATCCCTTTTCTACTCTCTATAAGAAAAAAAGACATTTGATTTTTTTGGACACCCAGAAAAAAATGTAGATTATTTTTTTATTGGTATGTTCAAGTGTACATTGTACTGGGTATGTTCATCTAGTATTTATCATTTAATAATAATAATGTACATGTATTAATCAATATTAATGAATATCTAATATCAAAAGTAATGTTAGAAAATCTATTATACCTTTTCAAGGTGCTGTGACAAGGTAGGATCCATGTAGCCTAAGCCAAATGCAGCAACCGTTATTAAGATCAAGGACAGAATTATAGAGGGTGCTTTGAACAATTGTAGCATATTTTTCCTCTCCGTTGGTGCATCTATGAGAGATAAACAACATTAAAAGTAAATTACAAATCACATGCATTCAATAATATCACATCATATCAGAAATTATATGGAACTCGTAAGTTCTGCACGGGTTTTATAAGAAATGCATTTCAATATAACAATTCAAAGATTATACTTCCTACAGCCAACATGTGGATACATAAACTTCAAATTTTTTTATCAAAATTCTAATTTTAATTTATTATTAAGTTTTCAACACAGCACACTTACCATCCTGAGGTGGAAGTAGGGCAGCAGACATAAGTCCAATCAAGATCACCAACGAACCCATCACAAAAAATGGCAGCCTAAATCCACCAAGTGAATAGAGGGCGCCACCCAAGGCTGGTCCCGCCATCATTCCAATGCCGCTGAAGGTTTCTAAAGTGCCCTATGGCAAAACAATTACAGGTAAATGTTGAACAATAAAACAAAAAAATTAAGATATCAAATAGAAAACAAATGACTATTGATTAGTTGGTTGATTGGTTGATTAATTGATTGATTAATTGGTAATTGGCTAGCAGGTATTAGCTGATTGAATGAGTGACTGACAAATTAATAATAGACAGACAAACAGACAGAGAGATTAATAAGAAAATATATGGATAAACTTACTGCTTCATATTTAGAATTTGCGGAGCAACTGAATTATAATTATACTTTTATATTGAAATCCAGAAGCTTTTTTTGCTATATAAAGATACAATGCTCACTGTTTGACTTGAATTACTATACAGTTTATTAATTCATTTTGTTTTGATGCAGCACACTTGCAGCAAGCAATACTTTTCATAATGAGTTTGAAAAAGAAACCAAACAGAGGCTGACCTAGATTGAAAACTCTTAGAGGAGGCTCTCAAGAAATCTCAAAAAGGTACTGTAATTTGTAAATACTTTAGTGCAGAATATCAAAAGATAAAAAAATACAAATGGATCACAAATAACACTGTAGGTGAATACAGCACAAAAATATGAAAGACTGCACATAAATCACACAAAGGAATTTTTAGATTCCTTTGTCCAGATCATGCAAAATGGCTGCCGTCAAGAGAGACCAAATGATCTGAGAAGACTGCACACATACAGAGTCCAAGAGTAATACAATCAACTACTATATGTGTTCCAGAATATGTTTGCATGGCAATGAAGTTCAAATTAATTCAAACTCCCAATCCTGAAACATACAGCCAGACCACATAACTAAGTTTATAAATATCTTGTGTCCCATTTACTGACCAGAGCTGACCCGAGATCAACTTCAGCTTCCTAAATTTAGAAAAATTCAGGGATTGTGGCAACCTGCCACCCACAGAGGAGATTGTCAAAACTAATCTGATTAACATCTGTACCTACATCCATTGAATTTGTCCTGTGGCTAAATATAACCATAACATGCTGTATTGTAGCTGAGGTTGCATATCTACTTTTACAATAATGTACTACACTATGTGTGGTTATCATTGATAGTGTAACAGATACAGGACTTGTGTGTTTATAGCAGTGCAGAGAGAGAGAGAGAGAGAGAGAGAGAGAGAGAGAGAGAGAGAGAGAGAGAGAGAGAGAGAGAGAGAGAGAGATTTCACATCAAAAAGGATAAATAAAAATTATTTAAAAAAAACCACTTCTGAATCAGCACTCACCATTAACATGGATACTTCATTAGGGAATGTATGGGCTATAATGGCCCAGCTGGCCACTATATACAGGGAGCATCCTAGAGCCTCCACGATTCTAACCGCAAAGCACATGCCCACATACACAGAGCCAGGGGGACTACCATCTAAAAAACTTTTAAAAAATATAGATATATTTAATAACATAAACATTACCCTTAGCTTCAGGGAAAACTTGAAAAAAATGTATACCTATAATACCTGAATACAAACACTATAGCATATCTTGAAACAGCAATGGTATGCTATAAATGGAAGTTTGTTTCAAGTAATCTCTGAAGATCAGGGTGATAAATATATAACTAAGAAAAAACAGAACATCCATATGTTCAGAGTTGAAGCTGAACCTTAAAAAAATATCCCAAAATTGCAAGCACTAATTAAACGCTTTACAGTTGGAGTCTTTTGGGCCATCTATTTGTTAATTAAAAATTTTACTTGCTTCCAAAGCAAAATGTTTTGACAGCTGAAGAAAGGAATAAACTGAGGAAACAGGATTTGTGAAAATCTTCTAAAACAAAGCTGTTATTTTCACCCACCCAAATAAAATAGCACAGCACCCGGCCACCATGATCCCTGCACAGTACATAAAACGTGAACCTATCCGCGTCAACTGAAAATAAAGTGTGCGTTACTATCAGAGTGACAGTTTTTCTGTACCAACAGCAAGTGCTTAGCATAGGAAGAACACCGGAAGACCCAGAAGACAGTCTCAATCTGCCCCTGTAGCATCCTACTTCTTGTAAATAAAAATAGCTGGATTGTACAATGCACTTGAAGTTTTAACGAGTATAGCCTAGCAAGATAAAATCTAAAATAAATTAGCATAGATATTAGATTTTTATCTTTGTTGTGTTCAAAATTCTCATGTCATTTTTTAAATCAATCTGAGCAATAGGAAACATTTTACCAATCAGACAGCAGTCATGTTTAACTGAACTAGGTATTTTCAAATTCCATTTATTATGTAAGAATTTTTTGCACCACTCTTAATGCATTGTAAAATTGCAGTAAATCAATTCAATACAGACATCAGCTACTATTTTTTAGAATAAAAATACATATTAAATTTTCCCCACTATAGATTAAATGTTATACTCACTAGAGCACCAAAGATAGGAGATGATATGAATATGACCAACTCAAAACACCCAAATATTAACCCTGTGGTGGTCTTGGTGGAGCCTTTCTTTGCTGCCTGAAAAAAAATTAAAAATATTGAATTAAAAGTTAATGTCCATCTGTAAGCAAACCTTCTTATTTACTTAATTTCAACATGAAATTGTTATTCTGTTTACTTCTTATGTCACTATTCTTGATTGAATTTATGAGTTTTTTAAAATTTATTTATTAATGAATAGCAAAATAATTTGGCTTCTCAACATTGAATGGTATTTTTCATCAGTGGTCACCATCTTGAGGTGTGAAATATGTCAGAAGGACATGGTAGTCTGAACGTCTGCTCAGACATTTAGAAGAAAATGATTTGATTATAAATGGTATAAAACATTGCATTCAACTGCAGGAAAGGGTCAAGCAATGACTTGTGAGTATGAGAAATTTGTTTGTTTTTTTTCACAATAGGAAATAAGATTAGGCATGTAAATCCCACACAGGATACCTTTAATGTCATGTAAGATGATCCTATTTTCAAGATTTACAGTCCTTGTCAAAAAGGCTGTAAGTGACAACCAGGTGGCAGTAATAGTCAGATTCATTTACATAATTTATTCACCTCATCTGGGAAGAACGGGGCTAGCAAAGAGAAGCAGCAAGTAGCACCGAGGTTTGCCAGGGCAAATGTGAGCACCGTAAGCTTCTGTCTCGTTGTCCACTTCGTTGGAGGTTCTTCGGTTTTCTCTCCACTCCCCTCACTGCCCTCAGAATCTGGAATGTTATCAGGTTAAGTATGATATCACTTGTGATAGAGGTACAATAACAGAACATTGTACATGGAATTTTATCAAGAAAATTTTGTTAAAAGTGTATTTTAAATAACATTTCACTATAGAAACTAAAAGGTATATCCAGTGATGCATTTTTTTTTTTTTTTTTTTTGTAATGGAAAAAGTTGTAAAAACTAAAAATCCTGAAAACGAAGCTTGCAATTTGTCATCGCATTCAAACATTTAAAAAAAAAAAAAATCAAAATGCAGAATGAAAATCATGAAATAAGGCATAATCCTAAAAATTAACTTTCAACCATGGGATACTCAAAACCTGAATTTAAAACTATTTAATATTCCAAAATATATTTGAAATGCCCCGTCCCCCACACCTTCAATAACCAGTAGCATAATAAATCAATCAATCAATCGATCAATTCCATATCAGCCATTTAATAGGTTACACATCAAAAAATCCCGCATTCAAAAATAACATACATGTACTTGCACCCTGTATTTCTGATGGTTCTTTAAATACCACTCCACCACTGGACTGTATATTATCTGTCACCAGACCCCCGGGGTACACATCCTCATACACTTTCTCTGTATTGCCCTTTACAACCCCGTCATCCTTGGGGTGCAAGTTTTCATAGGGAGCATCGGTTGTTGGACTCGGGTTCATGTCCATATAGGGAGCATTTGTTTGTGGGTTAGGAATCTCTGTCCTGGGTGTGACGTTGTTGTGACCAGTTGTGACAGTGATACTGCTGCTGTTAGGAGCAGCAACTTTGTGAATGTTATTTTGTGGGGCAGTGTTATCACTTGGGTTGTAAATGCTCTTGTTGATACTGCTGTTGTTGGAACTCACAGTCATAGTTTCATATACATTGTCATCCTTGGTCGTTGTTGTAATTGCCGACGGACTTTCAACATCAGACATTATGCCAGCGTTACCAGTTGTATATGTGCTTGAACCCGTGTCTCTTGATCTCTCTGTGGTAATACTATTGATATCCTTGGTGTCACCTACACCACAATCACTATTAAAAGAGTCACCTGCATCTTGTGGAATAAAACCACTGGAAAATATCGATTTTGTTGTTGACTCTACATCACTACAGTCATCTGAATGTATAACTTCTTTGTCAGACATAGCCGTTCTTTTCTCTAATTTCTGAAATGAGAAAGGTGATTTTTTAATTGGAACGCTCCAATAATTGAAATCAATTATTTTGCAGAAAGAACATTGAAAGGGCAAATGATAATAGTCCGAAAGTTTCATTAATTAGTCTGGATGTTCACTATACTCAACCTTAATTCAGACCAGCAATTAAACCCTTTCCTTAACAAACTGATGAAAGTCTTATGATTTTTGGGACCAATGAACCTTCGGACTATCCTGGCAGATGCACCCCAATTTAACAGTCCACTTTACAGAGTATAAAAATGGACTAATTAACATCATTTTAAAGTCGAGTTCTCATTATTTAGCTCCTAATTGAAACCACCTATAAAATACATAGCGGATCACAGTAAGTCGAAATTATCCTAAAAAATAAATAAAAATAATGATTTCAAATTATACATTCAAGCAGATATAAATATTTAGTAATTACTCTAAGTACTGGTAGTGGTAGACTTTCATGTAAGTGACATTCAGCCAATCATCGTAAGTATAATCATGAGTCGAGGCAACCTTACACGAGCCAACCTCTACAAGGCTTAGCACATACCTTGATTATGGGAATAAGCAACGATTACCATACGCTAAAAATTTACAGCTAAGCAGCAGAGTACAGAGATCAAATACTGTAACTATGCATTTAATGTAATCCAAACCACAAATGTTCACAGTTGTGCTCTTGGATAATTACAACACATTATTACTTACACTTAAAGAATACCTTCTCTCACTGCATGGTTGTATGAAAAGAGGGGAAAACGTATGCCGACAGCAAAATTTAAATATTCTTTTTAGTTATTGCACAAGTTTAGGCAATGGCCATTAAGGTAATGGGGTCGCTGCTGAACCCATAACACATCAGATTGCACCATTCCGTACTCCCACTGGAAGCCTCGTTATCAGTGAGAAGATACTACTTGGCGCCTTTAAGATCTCAAAATAAATATTTATATCGATGCAGAAAACCGTCATTAACCTTTAGATGCCATCTTACACTACCTAAAATTGCTTGTCTGACATTCTTCGAATTATCCCTAGGCCATATAAAACGCACTGATATCAAGCAACCACATTAAAACTGCCCGAATTACCAGATAACGAAGGTTTCTCGTGGTTGTCGAAGACGTTGTCACATGACTGTCACATGGGCAGTAAGTTTCAAGATGGCAGATAAGTGGTCAGAACGGCCTGGATACGACAACCCCGTGATTTGTTGTCACCTGGGTTTATCAGGGCCGTGAACACCCCCTGCTGCACGTGCTGCGTTTTCGAGTCTATGTTTAGATTGAAGCAGGCGTCTCGATGACAAAGGTTATTATTACAATAACAAGGGGAGCGCACGCTCTTGTCTACACGAGAATATATATATTTTCTGACTTTGTTGCGTTTCAGTCGAAAACAGCCTGTGATTTAGATGAGATAATTGCAGTAACGGAAGAAACAAGAAGCGTAGACGAGCAGAGCGATAATAGCACTAGTAGAGATAAGAGTAAGTATGCTGTTATTGAGCGGTATTACACTGATTAAGTACGGAAGTGCTCATAAGTTGCACGGTTTACTTACTGTAACTCTGCATTGCCTGGATCTGTTGACAAGTGAACATACTGGTACCGCAGTAATGAAGCCACTCTGAATTAATAATCATTTTGACCACGTACTTGTGCTTGGGTACTTAAAGAGTAAACCTGTCACATTTTTAAACAGATGTGATAAATCGGCGATTGGGAATGTGTTTTGTTGAATACATGTAATATAGGTGGCTATATAGATAACTGGTGTGTACATGTATGTTACTGAAGGTTATGAGGAATACATCAGTTGTATTTTTGTTACAATGTGATAAATCCATCATCATACATGTTGCATGTATGTACAGTACCACTGACATAATGACAAGAGGGCTATTAAGTTACACAGGGGTGGATTTAGGGCGTCTTCTGGGTCTTCCGGAAGGCGGTCAGATTTTCAAGTTTACATTGACGGGTATCTAATATTTTCTGTTGGAAGACGGTCAAAAATGGAGGATGGATTAACAAAGATAATTTGGAAGACTGTCAGAAAACATCTCTGGATCCGCCCCTGTTACAGACCAAGACACTTGACTCCATTACACAAGTCTCTCCACAAAATAATCATGAGTTGGTTATTTATTGGTCATGTCTAATTTGAAAGGCTTTTTTATGTGACTTTCTTAGACTGGGTTCCCATACCTAGATGGTCTAACAGGATTGATCTGTCTCGGAGGGGTTTTTCGCTAAACTGCTTTCAGCTTCAGTGGCTTAGATGTCTGGCACACCTACTGAAGCTGCTAAACAATACTTTAATACCTCCTACCAGCTTCAGTAGAAGTGGCAGGAATCTAAGAAGCTTAAGTTGATTACAACTTAACAAGAATCCCCTCGGAGATAAATTGATCCACAGTTTTAGTAGTACGATAGGGTCTGGGAATGGTCTGTTATGTAGCAGTCAAGGTATTGTAATTGTCAGTCTCTCAAAACATGCTTGCACCTGTATCATTAAGATATAATTCTCAATATGAAAAGGCCTTCATAAGGGTATAAATTATTGCTGAATATGTAACATGTACAAATGATAATATGTTGTAATACCAGCACATTTGCACACAGCACAACTGATGTTTTGGTTATGATAGCTAAGAGTGCATTCCCATAGATTGAGATCGATCCATCTGGATCGACCTAACTCCCTGGGGGTTCACGCTAAATTGCTGTCATCCTAGCATGCACAGTAGTTTATTTCCCCCTTATAGCTTTTAGTAGGCAGGACAGACATTCAAGCTGGCTGAGCTGACAGTAATCTAGTGAGACTCCCTACAGGGATTGATCGATTTAAAATCTGTGGGAATGGGTCTTAGACCATGACTTGTTGATCAATGTAGCGTTTAGATAAAAGTTAGTATATGGTGAGCCTCTGAATTTAAATTAAATTTTAAACATTTCACCTTAATTACTAATTTATATAAAACTGTTGTTTAAAAAATGCTTTTCAGTAGCTCACAAAAAAAAGCACCTCTTAATTTTCAATTTTAATAATAACTAACAGAGCATTGCTTTTTTTTTTTTTTTTTTTTTTTTTTTTTNTAATAATAACTAACAGAGCATTGCTTTTTTTTTTTTGAAAATTATTAATTTATTTCTTAGCACATATTGGGTTATTATAGTACAGTATGTTATAATGTTACCTTTGGAATCTCCTTTGTTTGCTAGTATTTGATAAAGTATGAAAAATCATATGTATCTGTGGTTTTTACTCAAAATTGAAGAACATCAATAATAAGTTTCTCCAAAATTTCATTTTGTTCAAAATATGAAAATGCTAATTCAAAGATTTGAAAAGTTAGTTGGCTCTGTGTGGATGAAATATGAAAATTTAATGTATTAGAACATTTAGATATTCTAAAAAGTGAGACATGTACTGCATATGAATATTTTAAGTAATACTAATAATAAATTAACTTCATTATTTAATTAATATTTATGATAGGTAAAGTGGCTATCAAGGTCATAAATTGATGCCCTCTACTTATAACTTCATGTTGTGATATTGAAATTGACACTGATTAACACTGACCCTATGATTAACACTGACCCTATGATTAACACTGGTTATATACAACACAGATACCAAATAGTGCCAAGTTTATTAATGAAAGAACAGACCTTTTCCAGTCAAAAAATTATGTAATAACACATTAAACTTTGTATCCTAAGGACCTTTCATATCTTAATTACAGGTGGCCTTGTTTTTGCAGGTCATAAGAACAGTTAACACAAGAAGAAGGAAGCCATTATACATGTATGAGAACTCCTAATCCCTGGCTGCAAAAGAGAACTATTATCAGCTTCAACACATTAACACCTGTGATGAACACAATACTCACTTCAATTTGTGATATTTAAGGAGATATTTTATAGCTATTTTACATATATTGTGATATTATTAAAAAGAACTCCACATCGCCTATGGATGATTTTGACTTTTCCTCTGCTTTTGGAAACGATGCTGGCTGCGATGAGAGACAAAGAGGATATGGCAGGCACCATTCGCTATCAACGACCGAGGAGGGATTCCTCACACCTCATGGAAGCGATGAGGATTTACGTGAAGTGGGATCAAGTAAAGATTCTGCGGCGCAACTTGGAAAATACTCAGGCAAAGTTGAAACCAAAAAGGATTTGTTGTCTCCATTTAGGACCCTCAATGTACCAAGTTTATCCAATGATAATGACAGGTCTCAGGGCATAACCAGGCCAATAAACAGGTCTCCTGGGGTTAATATTTTATTTGGTAACAGTAAGGGAGACTATGACAGAAAGCAACCTAAAAAAGAGGCTGCAAGTTTATCTGATGATGCTCAGTTTTGTACCCCTCAGGATGACTATATGAAAGACCCTAGAGTTCATCAAATGGGCCACTCTGCTTCCAATGATATTTATGCCTTCTCTACGCCAAACAGCAGCCTCCCAAGTTCAAGAACAGACACCCCTCTTTCAATACAATTTGGGACACCACAAAGCTTTCACAGTTTAAACCCAAACAACCCTAGCAGAGACAGTCCTGTTTATTTTACAAAAAGCTCAGACACAATACCTACTTCTACCATAACCAAAGTGAATGTGAATGGACACAATGATGACGTATATGTGAGAGTCCCAATCCCTTCTCCTCTCCCTTCTCTCGCTGCTCCAGTACAAAACAATGTAGGTGGTTCCAGTTCTGCTGGGGGAGAAGAGGAGGGGGGTGGGGAGGTGGAGGTTAACACAGAAGAGGCATTCTCTTTCATGAGAATGACCAGAGTTCAAAAGATTATATTTGTCATCATGTCTCTCAGTAATTTCGCTTCATATCTGTGTTTGTCAGTGCCAGGACCTTTTTTTCCAGAAGAGGTAAGTGAAAATGACGCAATCCTAGGCCCTCTTCACATGGTGCATTACACTTAGACTGCATTCCCATAGATTTAGATCGATCCATCTAGATCAACCTAACTCTCTGGGGGTTCACGCTAAACTGCTGTCAGCCGAGCATGCACGGTACTTAATTTCCCCCTTACAGCTTTTAGTAGGCGGGACAGACGCTTAAGCCGGCTAAGCTGACAGTAATCTAGTGAGACTCCCCACAGGGATAGATCGATCTAAAATCTGTGGGAATGGGGTCTTAGACAGGTTCCCATACCTAGATCAATGGTTACTTTGATTGCTCTTTATTCTGTAAAAATACATGTGCAACTTCACCAGAAGTGTTATCTGCCATTATAAATTTTTTCATAAGAATATTTTGTTTGTAAAATTGGAAAGTTCTGTTATATGCAACAAATACAGCATATCTATTTTAAAGCCCAGGAATGGATACTATAAATAACCAGTAAATAATTTTAAAGATTACATAGAAGTCTATATCAATTTTGTCGTTCCAGGCCAAGAAGAAAGGACTTAATAACACACAATCTGGATGGGTTTTTGCAGTGTTCTCCCTGACACAGTTTTTAGTCTCACCTGTGTGTGGAAAGCTTGTGAGTTATATTTATGTGATGACTATGTATGTTATATGAGGATTTGTTTGTGTGTGCATGAGTGTAATTTTAGGTCAATTGACTTACAGTAATGGGTAGACTTTGCTATCTGTTATTGCAAATTGTCCCTATTTTGACTTAGGTAATCGTTATGATCAAATTAAAAACAATAACAATGCTAAATATGAAAAATCTAAAAGAAGTAAATTATTTGGGTGCTAATGAAAGTTATAATTGATCAGGAATGTTAATTCACTAAGAAAGCCTGGAACAATTATGCTGCACTGCTTGTCTTGTGAAACAAGAAAACAAATGAAAAGCTGCTTATAGAGAAAACATGTTTGGTCTCTTATAAAAAGCATTGTAATCATCATTACACCTGAGACAATGAAATCATACTTTTTAATCTATAAGAGCGCATTCAGAACAGCCGACTAACAGTTCCACAGATCAAATATGGCGATCCATTTAAAAGCTTGCCGTTCCAGATTACAACAAGCAGTCAAGTGGGTCGGCCTAATTTTAACCTGCGGATCTGTTAGTCCACAGTTCTGAATGCGCTCTCTGAAGTTATCATTAATTTCAGCTGCCAGTTGTGGGCTCCAGGTTTATGTTTTTAAGTGGCACCTTTCTGGGCGGAGGCTGTGTTATAATATTTGGGTAAGAAGAATTGAAGAAATTCAAACTTACAATTACAATTACACAAAAATGACTAAGATTGAATTTCTTAAACTCGTTAAATATAGATTATGAAGTTACAAGATAATCCCTTATCTTTTCTTAGAACTCTATTTTACTGATAAATGCCAAAGATTTTCTTCTTAAAATTTATATAATCATATATATATATATATAGTATACGAAAAAAGGATACATGTTTTATTGAATATTTTTTATATTATATATAATACATTTAATTAATTGAATAAACATTATTATTATTAGTATTGTTGTTGTTGTCATGTTATTAAAATGACTATTATTATTATCAACAGAAATCGAGTATTGATACAGGTTTCTTTTTTTATAAGTATGTTAGATAAGATCAATTTCAACGATGGGGGGATGATGTTTTTGGCATTTTGCCTGGTGACCCGGATCTTCATGTCCATTGGTTGCACAGCTGCCACCACCGCTGCCTTCGCAATCTGTATAAACTCATTTCCAAACGCCGTTGCAACAGTTTTGGTGAGTCAAAATTTGTTATGCTTTACAAGTGTGATTGTTGAATTTCTTTTAAGTATTTGCATTTATTTATTTCAACAGCTTTGGAAAGAAGTTGTTTGTGGTGATTTTTGAGTGTTGGATGTTGTTATTTATTTTATTTGATTATTTATTTTTATTTATTTATTTATTTATTTATTTTTTTTAAGTATAATACAGGACTTCTTAAAATTTTTACACAAACTGAAGTAGACCAAGTTTTTAATTCTCAATTCAAAACTTATTATCAGGCTTAATTTCTTTTATGAAACTGGTCCCATTTGCTGTGTGTTGCAGGGAGTGTTGGAGACTTTCACAGGTCTGGGAATGATGCTGGGCCCGGCCATTGGAGGCGTCTTGTATGAAGTAAGTATTGTGTATTATCACGTTTACTCTGAGTTGCAACACAATGCCACAAGCAGGATGCTTGCAAGATTTTGGACCATGATTGCAAGTCTTTCGTGAGTGAATTTTGCACTGTCCCATATGCTGGCAAATCCCCTGAAGAGTGCTGGAGACTCAGAAAAAGATGGCTGGGGCAGCTGTCTAGATCACCTGCAAGGCCAGGACAATACTTACGGAGCATTCCCATAACCCTGACACACTAGCTGGATCTATCTAACTCCTCGGGGATTCTCGCTAAGTTGCATCCAGTGTAAACTGCTTAAATGTCTGGCATGCCCCCTCCTAACTTAAAGTCTGAAAAACTATATGGTTCATGATCTTGTTCATATTTCTTTGCGTGCCAGAAAATTTAGCTGATTACATTGACTGCACCTTAGCGAGAATCCTCACTATTAGTAAGATAGATCAATCCTGCTAGTATGATAAAGTTATGGGAACACAGTAATAGTGACCAATGATGTAGGAAGACCCAAAATCACCATCAGTATCATCAGTATAATATTTGGCTGGTGGTTATGAACTTTCATTTTGTTTGGTAACATTTCTTCATTTATATCATTAAAGTGATTATAAACTTGCACTTTTTTTGTAACATTGTATTCATTTTTACTATTTCCAGCTAATGATAAGTTTTTTAAAATTGTTTTTCGTAACATTGTATGTATTAATTTCCCACATTTTAGGCTGGTGGATACATGTTGCCATTCCTGGTGCTAGGTATAGTCATGGTCATCACAGTGCCCATTACATTTGTGCTTCTACCCAAACATGAAGGTAAGAAAATAGCCCATTATAAAATATATATATATATATATATATATATATATATATATATATATATATATATATATATATTAAATGATATATGTACTGGCTACACAAAAATCTAAAACAGATTATGAAGTCACAAGATAATCCCTTATCTTTTCTTAAGATTTCAACCAGTTGACATAAGGAGTTTACACAATGAAAATCATGCTAGATTATGAACAATGGCAAGACCACTGTGGGAGATCTGACTACCAAACTCTCTTGTTTGTTGAGAGTGGCTTTCCTATGACATGATTTATGTTGTCACTTTTCATCGTTTCACCCAACAATTTCACTTGCCACTGTCACAACAATCCAATTAATTATTTTTTTATTGATGAACATTATTTATTACTCAACAAACTGAACAGTGTACATTGTTTGATGGGTGACATTTATAAAATGCATAATGTGCAGCAAGATAGTAACTTAAAATATCAAAAATATCTCATTCACCCAATTTTCTTCTCACTCTAAAGCCGTACAGTACATATTTCCCACTGTCTTGGTTACAGATAAGGACCAGTCTTCCAATGGCTCCATGTGGCAGCTACTGAAGAGCCCCTCTGGACTGGTCATCTGTCTGACCATCATGATGTCTGCTATAGTCTGGGCAGCACTGGACCCCACCCTGCAGCCGCATCTTGAAGATGTAATGAAGCCAAGTTTATATCAGGAGTAACTTTGAATTAACCTGGAAAAGACTGATTAACATCAGTATATTTAAAGATTAACACCCAAGGCATTTGCATTAGATAAGACAGTGTGTTAGTAATGACATTGTGTTAGTTATGACAGCGTGTAAGCTATGATATTGTTTTAGGTATGACGGTGTGTTAGGTTTGAAAATGTATTGGGTGTGAAAGTGTGTTAGCTATGACCATCACTTATCAAACTTTCATTATGTTATTATATTTTACTTTTCAGTTTGACCTGAGTGCAGACATTATTGGGTTGGTTTTCCTGTTGAGCTCAGCATTTTATGCCATAACGTCACCAATCTGGGGGAAAATTGCAGATAAGATGGTATGTGAAACTCCAAAGGCTGAGAAAGTCCAAAGGTTGAGAGAGAGAGAGAGAGAGAGAGAGATGCATGTGAGGACTTAATACACAAGGAATTTAGAGTAAATTGTCTCCATTTTCTTGTAAGACTATTAAGAACAACTCTGTAAAATCTGTCTTACTAGTACGTATATATTCTCTCTCTGTATGTGTGTCTCTGTGTGTACATGTCAGTGTGGTTTTTTTTACATGTTAATAAATAGATTAATTTTATACCATGTCATAATGGGTAAAAGAACATATAAATATATAAATGTACTTTGGTCTTTTTATTAAGACTTCTTTATTTTTCAGTACGACAGTAAGCCCCTGGTCATAGTAGGACTCCTCATCACGGGGCTATGTTGCTTACTCCTGGGACCTTCTCCTATATTAGGCTTTCCCAAAGACTATCAGTTAGTACTGTTCTACAAGGTTCAAGAGTAAAATTGTTGAAAAAGTCCCAAAGTCATATTTTTATGTCTGCATGTCATTCTAAGATACTTACTTTACCAAATACAGACTTTAAAAATGATAAAAGTCTTCAAATGATAGTACCTCGTAACCTGATGTTGATATTTTCATTAAAAACAAATTATTTGGATTTTTCCAGTGATCATTACTGGGAGAAAACTGCTCATTTTAAGAAAATTTTATTTATAAGGGGAAAATCACATATAGGAAATTTTAACTAACATTTTAATTGCACAGTTAGTAAGACTAACAGATTTAGCTTATGTTTCACCTTTGACCTTAGGGTTAATTGTCAGTTCATACAATGGGACTGTTTGTCAGCATGTTTGACTTTTGATTTTGTCATTTCAGTGAGTTGTGGCTGGACCTAGTGTCAGTGTCAGTAATGGGGTTGTCAGTCAGCATGTCAGTTGTACCGACCTTTGACCTCATGATGTGGGTGGCAGAGTAAGTGCAGGATTGACCAATAAGAAACCTCCAACGTCTCACATGATTAAAAAAATGATAAGTTTCTGGTATTCAAGGGTATGCACAGTCCTAGGACACATATCACAGTGTCGTAATTGGTAAAATGTTGGGATTGAAGTTTGCACTTGGTCTCATATAGATTGATAAAGCATCACTTGCAAATTTATATATACAAATTATATATGCTGAAAAGCATATAGCTTAGCATATAGATTTTGAAACAGTAATTGAAAATGCCATCAGCAGTAGACGTGATGCACTCAGGTGCTATAAATAGAATATTTACAATCTAGTAATGAGTCAGGATGTGGAGTGGGCTAAAACAATTTATCAATGTATGTCCTCCCTTCCTTCATTTATTAATTAATTAATTTATTTATTTATTTATTTATTTATTTATTTATCAAAGAGTTTATTATTCTTATTCCCCTCAGGGACGCAGGGCTAGATGAGAGTATAGGGACATATGGTCTAGTAGCAGGGCTTTGGACAGCTGCATATGCCTTAGGGTAGGTGGAGTATAGTTATTTCAGTAACATTCTACAGAAGCTTAAGCATAATATTTGAAAACAAGCTTCTCTATTTGACTACTGATAAATGATTTGAAAAAGAAAGATGGCACTTGTAATTAAACCCCTGATACTGTTGCACCAAATACATCGTCATGTCAGCCACACTGTCACATCTTACACATTATCATATCCACCACACTGTCACATCTAACACACTATCATATCCACCACACTGTCACATCTAACACACTATCATATCCACCACACTGTCACATCTAACACACTATCATATCCACCACACTGTCACATCTAACACACTATCATATCCACCACACTGTCACATCTAACACACTATCATATCCACCACACTGTCACATCTAACACACTATCATATCCACCACACTGTCACATCTAACACACTATCATATCCACCACACTGTCACATCTAACACACTATCATATCCACCACACTGTCACATCTAACACACTATCATATCCACCACACTGTCACATCTAACACACTATCATATCCACCACACTGTCACATCTAACACACTATCATATCCACCACACTGTCACATCTAACACACTGTCACACATAACACACTGTCTTGTCTTAAACACTGTCACACCTAACACAATGTTCTGTATGAAACACTGTCACACCTAACACACTTTGTCATTTCCTACACATTTTCTCACCCAGTGCACTATTACAGTTAATTTGTCCATTTGTATATTTCAGAGAATTTATAGGCCCAGTAGCTGGTGGATACTTTCTAGATACAGTTCAGTTCACGGGGGAGATGAACTTTATTGCTTTGGGCTGTGCAGTGGTTGTAAGCAATATTAATTATTACTATTATATATATATATATATTATACAACTTAGAGATGAAGTTAAATGAAATTACAATTGTTTTTTCCTCATTTTATCATACTTTTGATTTTTTAAAACCACTTTTAATCTTTTAAGTTGTATCTTAGAATTCTGATTTATCACATACATATGTGACAAAATTTTTATAGTCTACTAGAGAAATAGATACATAGCTCTTGAACTATTTGAAAATGTATCAATTTATTTACTTGTGCATTTTATAATCTCGCTGTTTAATGGGTTGATCTTTCAGTCTGTTTTAACCTTCCTTCTTTGGCTCTATGAAAAGTTATGCAAGAAAGGAGAGGAAGAAGAAGAGGAAGAAGAAGAGAATTCTGGGAAAAATGAGGAAGACACAAGCCCTCTTTTGACCTCTTATGATATTCTCACAGCCTCAACCAATACACGACCCATGTTAAATGTCAGTCATTTGCCATCTACTGGCTATTTCCATGAACCCTAGTCAGCCTTAACTGTAGGAAAATGGTCTATTTGAGTTCAACAAATTGGCATATGGAGCCTGCATGAGGTTGTATTTTTTCCCAAAATATATTGCTGGTGAAACTTAAAGTAGCAATAAATTGTTTGTCCCAGGATTTTGAAAATCTTCTAGTTGGACAAGAGGCTGATGCTGCCAATCCTTTGTTTTGTTCTTCTCATCTTGAGGTTATGGAGGATTTAAAACTTCCCGTAACAGAAAAAAGGAGAGATTTGATTGGGAGATGCTGTTCAGGAAGGCCTGTAAGGAAAATGGTAACTGAAGAAATTGACTTGTGATGTGCTGAAAGCTACTAGTCTTGTCATTTCATGTGAAGGTTATTACATTTATTTTGTGGATCAAAGAAAATTGCTGATGGCCAAAGAGACATTTATGATTAAAATATAAGCAACTGTGTGATAATTAGCTCTATTCCCATTGTATACCTCTTATTTAACTTTTCAGGCATAAGTTTGAATGTTGCCAAGTAAGAAGTCAGTTTCAAAAATATGATATGTTATATATTCCAAAAGAACAGAACACGACAGAGTTTTGCCAAAGTAAAATTACATATCTGTTTTATTTTATCATAAAATAAGGGGATTTTTTTTATTTTAAAGTTTAATTTAAAAATTTTATGGATATTACTTTTAATCACACTAGATTATTTCATTTCAAGTAATTTAACTTGCTATGTAATTTGAACAAAACCTATTACTTAATTTATTGAGTTATTCACAATTGATGGTTATTGCTCATTAAGAAAAGATCTGTCATATATATCAATGGATTGATATTATAAAATTTTCTATTTCATTTTGTAGATACTGGTAATTTCAGAACTGATAACATATTTTCAAAGGCAATGTTATCAATTTTTAATAAGTTCAAGGAATGTTTACGTTGTTCTAGAATTTGATGCTGTAAAAAAATTATGAGTCGGTGTTGGTTGTTAGAGTTCTCTTAGTTGATGTGATATAGCACAAGAATCTTGTCATTATATGAACAAATTTGCAGTCCCAAAGTATCCAAGATTTGCAGTCGATTGTAATCATAAATTGTATTTGTGTTCCTTAAAGATATCATACAGTATTTATATATCCTGATGAGTGGGGGTCATTTAATATTTTCTCATGAATTAAACTAAACAAGATTATAGATGATAAAAGATTACAGACCACCATTGTTCTTAATTCCCTGCAGTAGAAATTCCCCTTGGTAAAAATAAGGCATAATAACAAACAAATTTAATTCTTGATTTTAAAACTTAAGTATAAATACAACAATTTTTTATCTCCAGTCATCATTTTATTAAGGATGAAAGGGAGTAATGCTGCAGGAATGTATCACTGTGAGCAACTGCATAATTTTGTCAGAGGGAGATGTTTGGAGGATGGTGACAGAGAGATTTTAGATAGGGTGTAACGAAACTGAGGGTACGTGAAACAGAAAGTCTGCCCTCCATTTAGTTATAATGGTTAGAGTTAGCCTGACCTAAGTGGGTTGAAATGTAGGGCAAGTGAATGTGACATGGACTTTCTATCATACCGAACTTTCTGTCATATTACAAGGGCACCAAAGTATCAATGTCAGGTATTTTTATTTGAGGAATTTTATCATTTTTAAGGTCTGGTTTTGGAAAAATAAGTAGCTTTGCAGATTATACAATCATTAATCCCAACTTTTTTCTCATATTTAAAATTTTACTTTCATCATTTTTAAAGGAAACGTGCCATATATGTGGTATTCAAGAACAAAAAGTGTATTACCTCTTGAAATAAAGATAAAAGGAAAATAAATTAATTTTAATTTCTTACTTGCTTACATGTTTAAGCACTACAACCAAAGCTCCCAAAGCACACACAACTTATTTTTGTTAATTTAACGAATAATCCAAATATATTTCCGCTTGCATTTTTTAAATTTTATTTATTTTTAATTTTATTTTTTATTTTTTTGTATTTTTATTTTTTGCATTACATTACTGGTCCTAACTTCCTAGTTTATAAATATAATTACATATTTGTGACAGGCCGGTCGTGATCGATTTGAACACATGATCACTATTTCTTCAAACCATACTTTCAATACGGGGGGGGGGGGGTCTTCTTTTTGCTTGGAGATCGGAAAAGCCAAGCACTAGATGGCGCTGCAGTACTAGCAAGTCGGGGCTCGTCTTGGTAAATATGGCAACCTCCAGCGCAAGGGAATCTGTTCTTCATCTTCTAAGGGCGATTTCTGCAGCATCGTAAGCATAATTTCGATTTTTCTACCGAATTTGCAAGCCTTTTGCATTTCCTATTCACGTGCACTGCATGTCAACGATTTTTGTGCACTCCTATGCTCTTTGTTAGGTTAAACGTGCCTAACCTTTCGAACCTGTGTAGAATGTTACATAATATATAACGTTTATAGCATAAAACTTTTAAGCCCACCCACCTAAAACAGCTGAATGATTGATTATAAATAGGAACTCTGTGCTTACCTGTAAGTGTGAACTGTGTGTATAAATTTTGCTTTTTCAGATGTAAATGTCCGGCGCACTCTCAGTCTCATTCGCTGGCTGTGGCAGGTCAGTCCCCCC